AAATCTTAAAATTGTAGGTGTTTAATCTGTTTATTTTTTACTCTATGTTTAAAGAGAAACAGGCCTACACTCGCCTAATAAGCCCACCATGTCAAAGATGTGAATTTATTTCAACTTTTACTATTTTACTTAAACTATTGTTTACTGTTTCTATTTAATTTATTCTTGTGCAGATTTATTTGTTTATTATGTTTAGAAGTAGACATATCCTGTTGAAGATCCTGTTGTTTTTTAATGTATAAAGTGGAATTTAAGAGCTTGATATAAACAATATAATATCAACAAATTTCGTATCCTTACATTATATGTTCCCATGGCTCTGTTGCATTTGACTATGTTAATGTGTTTAAAATCAGCACTGAAGTATATGCCAGCGGACTTTCTGATTGCCAGAGAGTCAATATAGAACGAGTCTGGTACAGCCCTAGTATGAACGCATCTAAAGCTCCGTGCCTCAGCAAACTCCGAGGATATGTTTACCTTCATTCCCTTTTAACTGCTCACACAAAGCATCAGGCAGCTGTTAGATAAAGCCGAGTAAACATTGTTAAGTGTAGGTGATATAAGGTGACGTGTGCCCCCAGAGATTTGGTCGCCCTGGCTGCAACGGCTGAATTCTGTCGCTCTGTCGCTGTTCCTTCAAATTGTGCACTTTTAATTTAAAATCTCATTGATTCTGCTTCAGCTTCCCCCCGGAAGGTTTGTTAGCAGGGCACGGGCTCCTGTTTGAAAAGTCGCCTCTGCAACATCCCAATAGGAATTTAACTGAACAGTTGATTTCATGTACAAGGAATACACCAAATATAATGCAGTGGGAGACATTTGGACGCCACCTGGGGGCAACAAATTTGGCAAAATTCTGTGTTTATTGTGCACTTTCTATCCATCCACCCATTCTCTACCTGTTATTACCTTCCACTATATGACGAAAAAGTATGAGGACACTAAAAACACCCACATGTGATTCTTGCGCATCTAATTCTAAGACAATAGGCAGTAATCTGCAGCTTTAACAGCCTCCAGTCGCTCTGCCAGACTTTAAAAACCCACCGCAGGGATTTGCTCCCATTCAGCCACAAGAGCATTAGTAAGGTCCAAAGCACTGATGTTGGGTAATAAGTTCTGACTCACAGTCGGTGTTCCAGTTCATCCCAAAGGTGTTGGATGAGGCTGAGGTCAGGGCTCTGTGCAGGTCAGGTAAGTTCTTCCACATCACACTGGGTAAAGTATTTCTTTATGGAGCTGGCTTTGAGCACGGGGGACACAGACACCTTTAAATAGGAATTATAACTAAACTGTTGCCACAAAGTTGGAGGCCCACTATTGCCTAAATATCACATGATTGGTTTTACTTTGTTTGGCCCAAACAGTGACAAAAAGAAAAAGAAAAAAAAAAAAAAATTGAATTTCAGTTACACAGTCAAAACAAAAAATAGGCTTGACAAAAGTTGGGTTTGCTGTCATGGACAGCTGTTCCTGTTCCTATTACATAAGTCCAATATGTTATCTCGTTCCAACAATGCATGTGAATGACTGCGATAACCGATTTCTCTGCAGACCTTTGGTCTTTCTCACATTGTTCTACATTTTTGCTTCAAACAAAGACTGCAATGTTTCAGAGAAATGCCTCAGCAGCTTTGACATTACCGTGAGCCCAAATCTATGAGAGGCTTAGTGGAACATTTACTGTTTTTGTTTTGTTATTTATTTGTCCAGGTAGGACTGATCCCACTTGGACTCTGAAAAAGGTCTGAAATTCGTCCCAAGAATGAGGGAGCAAAAACAGACATGGGGTTATGTTTAAAAACCCTGCTTTTAATTTCAGACTGTACAAACACAAAAGCCCCGTCAAATCCATCACATTTCACTTAAAGTGCTGGGAGCCGTCAGATTTGTTTTGACTGCCTGCCCTCCTCACTGCCAAAAACCTAACCTGGCAGGTTGACAGGTCGCCACGACGCCATCCAATAAATAAGCAACTTATGAATTCATGTGACTGTTGTTTGGAGGAATGGCTTATAATGAACGAGTGTTAACAAAGCAAAGACAGAAACGCAGCAGTGTAAACCTTCCTCCAACAGTTTAATCCACAGAATGTAAACTGCAGATTTGTGCTTTGGGAAAATACTTCATTTATCTCTCAGTAAGGGAAGTATAACATTGTGGCTGAATGACTCCACCGAGTGAACTATTTGTCCTCTTGCACTCGGTTTGACATCCTGTTGTTACTGTAACACGCAGAGCTGTTTGTTCTTGTTACGGCATCGTCTTCTCATGAGTCACCAGCGCTGATCCCAGTTCAGTTATTGCACTTGACAACACTGTATGCACTGACACCTCATCTGAACTCGGCACTCTGCAGCTGACGACTATCTTCACTATCTATTATTATTCCATCTCGATTGTTGTCCAAAGAAAATGTGGGAGACGACCGTCACAACCGGGTCAAGACAACAATACCAACCACGCAAAGTGGGCACCAGGCCCGGGGCGACAAGAGCTGCAGTCTCAACGACGTCAGCTAACATCAACCTCTGTGGCCTTAAAGGAGTACTCCAGCCATCTAACACTGTATCTCTATGAAGTTACAAATTTGCAAGACACAGGTTAATGAAAAATGGTGAAAGTGCATGACACATGCGATAACCCTGGTTCTAGACCTTTGTGGCATGTCATACTCCTCGCTTTCTTTTCCGACGCGAGGCACCATGAAATCATGAAATCAACCCTAGATCCTACATTTAATCATTTTCTGGTTGTATATTTTTTTTCAATTAATCGCTTAATCTCCAAAACACATCACAGACCGACCATCACAACTTCTCAGAGGCAAACATGACGTTTTCAAAAGCCCCAAACCCTATAAATATTGACTTTACAATGCAACGGTCCTGTTCATTAGACCCTCTGTTTCCAAGATGACCCTGAAAGCATTATCAGTATTTTAGCACACTATGACCCCCCTCCCCTCCAAGAGCCACATGAGACATTATACAACATGTTTCACAGGCTTTGTTGCAGATACTCCCTGTGAGGGGTCTTGATGTCTTTAAATGTGGGTCAGATTTTATCACCCAATCTTCAGGTTCAGTTTTTAAGTGTCAAAATCTGGTTTTAAGAGCGTTGTTTCCTCATGTTGTGCTTGTAAGTTGTGTTTAATAGCATTACCACACAGGAAATCTGGGGGTCATCCCTGCACAGTGAATAAAGAGTGAGGAACTTGCGTGAGGACAACAGGGGCCCAAGCAGCTCATTCTTGCCCCCGGGGCCTTCTAGCTGGTTAATCAGGCCGTGATCATAAATTCCCAAAGCTCATGGTGACGTCTTCAAATTCCTTGTTTTGTCCAAACAACACACCAAGCCCTCCAAAAAGGTATTCAATTAACCACAATGTGAAACGGAAGTAAAGCAACAAATCCTCCCTTTTGGCGAGGCCGGAGCCAAAAAATGTTTGGCATTTGTGCTGCAGCACTAATCTGAACACACGTGCATTATCACACATCAGCACAGACAGCTAATAGCTCACAGACTTCTGCTGTAAATGGCTCTTGTTTAGGCAGAGATCTCTTTTAGACTACAGTAAACACCAGTGAAGCAGGCAGTAAGTTACACAGAAGTAAGCACACATACAATGGCCAGAAATAACTGTCATCTGCTGTACTGTATGTCATCATCAGTGCAAGGCACACACAAAAAAAACTGCAGGAAATGATTTAACAGACAGGGAGGAAACAGCTCACAAAGCAGTAAAAAGCTTACTACTTGCAGAACAAGAAATCAAACTGACATAAACTCTCATTCGAACACAGTAATCCTGCAGGCCATTAAGTTAGCAGAGAATTAAGTAAGAGTTGACACATCCGAAATGTTGGATGAAGTCCAGCTGCAGCAAATCAGGCGTCTTTTTATGAAAAAGCAGGAGGATTACAAGGTTTTTTTTTTTTCAAGAAGATGAAGAAGACCTAAATACAAATGGAATGGGAAATGAGGGATGCAGCATTCACCAAGTGAAACCAAACTCAAATTCAGATAACTGGCAACCAGCACGCAGAGTCTCATTAAAACCACCCTCTATCTTCTTGCTGAAAATCCTCCTCATTTCACCACTTGTTTTCTATTTCTTTGTAGCATTTCACAGAACTGAAAACAACTAAACCAGCACCGCATCAGGCAGAACACTGGAAGGGCCTGTGGCACAGCTGGAGCGCTGATCGATTCTAATCCTGCATCTGAAAACAACACTGTAGAGAGAGGAAACAAGCCACTTCCACTTCATTACTGCCTGGCACTTCCCACTCCAGAGGTGGCTGGAAGTAAAGATGCTTTTCTTAATAAACAGAAATCAGCTTTTCAATCTCACACCAAAACCATAAGATGATAATGGAAGGGGGGCGGCAGCAGGGTGCAGGAGTAGAGTCACTAAACCACACACAATAAAAAGCTCTAATTCCTGTTTGTAAGAATGCAGGGGTGACGTTCAAAAGTTTACTTTTGTCTTAACCGGATCCAATCAGTGGAACAATGGGTGACAATGACATTAGTGCAGACCATCACTGTAGCTGTGTGGTGAAGGTAGAAGATCCCAGATAACAACAACACAGAGGATATGTGATGGTGAAACAACAAAAGGAATAAAACGGTTCAGATAAAAAGGTGGATATCAAACTAAGTCAATGTTTTAAGTCCATTAAAAATCAGCATTTCTCCAATGGCAGCGTTTATCTAGCTTACACGTGCCCCTAAAATCAATGCAACAATCGCGCATTTCGTGTTGCGTGAACGTCTGAACACAATGCTCCCTGCAAAAAGTATGAAGACAAAGCCAAACAAGAGGGATGCTGCTTCCATCCGTCCACCGCAAAACAAAACAAAAAAAAAGCAATTCCTGCTCTCGGAAATAACTTTTGTTTGCGTTTCCTCAACGCTCCGAAGCCCTTCGGCCAGACGCCGTACAATGCAATCATCGTTTTTACGACAGGTAGAGAAACAACAGCGCTCACCTTTTGTTAGTTCCTCTGTCGGGTAAGAGCAGCAGTCCTCTGTCTGCCCGTGTGTGTGTGCGCGTGTGTATGTGTCTGCGGGTGTCTGCTCTCCTCCGCTCCCCTGTACATTTAAACGGGGCAGCAGCAGCGGTTGCGAAATTGTTGATGCGCGCTTCGCCTTGTTTGGTGGGCGGCGTGGCTGCTCGCTGTTTTTTCTTCCTATGTTTCAAACCCAGCGAAAAACACCGTAAAGCCCTCCCACTCCTTCCACTGGCGCTTCACTGGCTCAGCCTCCTCCCGAAAGCGGATACGCCGTCGCGCCGCGGCAGGAAGAAAAATAACGCGCAACACGCGTTTACATGCTTCAGGGTCCGAATAAAAACCGTGTCACCGCGGGCTGGTGTCTGGTGTGGGTGTGAGTCCGGCGGTGAGCAGCCAGAGCAGGCGGTCGGGAGTCCTGCTGCACCGCTGCGCTCCGCTGGCTTTGGTGGCTCTCACTGCACTGCAAAAAATGTCCATCCTGACGAGGCTCCGTGGTCTCACACTCAGTTTTTTAAAGTCACAACAGAGGCGCGCGCAAGGGGGCACAGCCCGTCCTCTCTGGGCGAAGTGCCATCTTACCACCTTGTCCTAATGGGGCATTTTCAAGCTTTATATCTGCCCTAGTATGACAACAAAGAGGGGCAAATGAGCCCCAATTGCCCCTCTTGTTACCCAAATTACCCCTCTGAATGACCCAGTTTGCCTCTTGGTTACCCAAGTGCCTTTCCTATCCTGCCCGCTGTCCCTTTGATTAGTCCAAGTGCCCCCTTTTTTCACCCTAAATGCCCCCTTGGTTACTCAAGTGTTTTCTTCTGTTGCTTTTGGTTTGCCCTAAATGCCCCTCTGGTCAGACTAAATGCCCCTCTGGTCGGCCTTATCGGCACCTGTCGTCACCCAATTGCCCCTCTGTTTGGCCCAAGTGTCCCTCATCTTTTCAGCCCAAATGCACTTGTTTCTAACTGTTTACCCAAGTGGCCCTGGGGTCACCCTAGTACCCTCCGGTTACTCAGTAACTGCTTTACATGTCGCCCAGTTGCCCCTCTGATTGGTCCATGTGTCTCTCATTTCAGCCTAAATGCCCCTTTTAAAACCAGGTGCCTTTACCCTCACCCAATCATTCATCTGGTTAGCGCAAGTGACCTTCTTGTTGCTAAAATGCCCCTTTGGTTGGTACAGGTTTCCCTCTGGTTGGCCTACATGCCCCTTTGTTTATCCAAATGCCCCTCTGGTCAATCCAGTGCCTTTCTTGTCACCCAAATATCTCTCTAGTTGGATCAAGTGCCCTGCTGCTACTCCTCCAGTTTCTCTCTGGTCAAACCAAATTGGCTCATGGTTCCACCAGATGCCCCTCTGGTCAGCCAAAATGCCCATTCAGTCAGCCAAGTACCCCTCTGCTTGGCCCAAACGCCCCGGCCCAATTGGACCAAGTTCCACACAGTTGGGATAAACACCCTTCAAGTGCAGCTCTACCGTGGCATTAGCACACATTTCTGCTGTATCATACAGAAACTCTGTGACTATCCTTAGGGCTGCCCCTTGCCCCTACAGGGGGCAAAGAGCAGAATCTATTATTAGCCCCCCTCTTACAAATAGGACCCTGACCATAACCAGCAATGCTTTTAATTTAACATCCCCCTATAAAAGTCAGAGGAGAGCGAATATAAGGCCCCAGGGAATAGAGGAGGGGTTCTGGACAGAGAGTTGATGATTAATCTCCTTTCAACACCAGAGAGAGAAATTAAAATATATATCAAACAAATGTGATGCCTTTTTAAAATAGAAAACATATCAAAACATATATTTTTTAAATCTTATAATTCTTTTTTGCAGTGTGTGGCTGCTCCGCTAGCTCTCTATAAAGAAATGTGCAAGTGTTTCCTCTGTGATAAGTCAAGTTAGGACACATCTACTGTATTCGGACTGATTATCACTCAACCGTAGACAGAGGAGGTGTATAAACCCTTATCATTAAAACATAAAGGACTCTGCCTGTAAAATAAAAGGAAGCTGTCTGATATAATTGCCTTGACAAGAGTGGAATAGAACTATATTCCTTCATAGGAGATAAAAAAAAAAGTAGCAGAAATTATGATAAAGTCAGTGTTAATTCCCCGTTGAGCAGCACAGACACTCTCAGTGTTCCTCTGAGAGTATTACAGGAGTATTATAACGATCTCATGTCGGTGAAAAAAGCTCTGATTTGTTCCAAGAGTGATTTCCCCGGCATCAGACTGAACAAATTAAATGAGTGTAATTAAAAGTAGTGGCAATTACGCTTTTTAAGGCTGCAATATATGCGGGTACGGCTCACAGTTTTGGGTTAAATTATTAAAGGGGAACCCCTGAGGATGCATTTAACAAGATGCTATATTTATATATGTGTGTGTGTGTGTGTGTGTGTGTGTGTGTGTGTGTGTGTAAGAGTGAATGTGTGTTTGGATAAGTTAGAAGCCACCTGGGCTGCGGGCCTCAGCCTCGGTCCCTCTGGAGTTCACCGACGGGATCGCTGCAGCGTAAGCAGTCTTTCATATATATTTGCTTTAATTATGGAGGATAATGAATTTAAATTTGTGATGCATTAAGGATCTGAAATGGCAAAGCACCCCAGGAGCCTGTAAATGTCTGATACTGCTTCAGGCTCCAGGGGGAGTTGGGAAATCTTATACAAGACTGAGTTAATGAAACTAGATCGGCCTCTGAAATGCTAATGTTGACTTTTGGTGCCTAAATCTGGCTGCAGCCCACAAGACACACCAAGCTGCAGTGGCCCACTGGTTCGTGTGTGTGTGTGTGTGTGTGTCTGTGTGTATGTGTGTGTGTGTGTGTGTGTGTGTGTGTGTGTGTGTGTGTGTGTGAGAAGGCTAACCTTTAGCTTACCCTCAGATAAATGTTGTACATTTTGTTCCTCACTCAGACAAATTGCTCTGCAGAAACCAACAAATTGTGCTTCTGAGATCAATCGCATGGAACCAAAAATAAATAAATAAATAAATAAATTACTTCATTCTGTCAGAAAGCAGCAAAGCTTCACTCTTCCCCAATTTCTCACCCTTTGTTTCACACAAAAATTACACAAAGCACGAGTCTCTGCTCTCTGTCGACATCCATATTTGCTCTGTCCACCCACACGCAGCCGAGCCGCTGGCAATTAATTAAAAGGAGGCACATGCACGGCTCAGCCGGCTTGTCAGGCCTGCCAGTCATCAGCACGCCGCGACAATGATCTGACCATCACCGGCTTAATTGGCAGTCGGAGGACATGCTCTCTTCGACTGTAGACTAAATAAACACACAGGCGGGCAGGAAGCAACCTCCAGTCCTCGTCCCCTCCTGATCGATATCTCTGCAACACCACGTCTGACGCGCAGAAACAGCTACAGGAGCATTTTTAACCTCTGTGCTGTTGTGTCGACTTGCGTTTTCACACATATCGATTCACACGTTTACAAATTCAAGTCAAGGCGCTGCCAAGAACAATTAGAGACTGCCTCTGAAGGAAAAGTTGATGTTTTTTTTTTTCCTGATGGAAAATTTGGCTTCATGCCTCAAGAGCTGCTACAAAGACGTGTTGATTAGTGAGATTAGTGAGGTTTGGGATGACTTCAGGACCTCAATGAAAATAACTCACAGCAACTTTTAGTGTTTTTATTCACTTACAAAGAAATAATTTAATAGTGGACAATATGCACCTCATGAGTTACATCCAGATGTGCATCAAGTGTGTCACCTAACCCTCGGCTTCAGGCCTCCTCTGAAAACACTTGTGATGGTTCAAGGATCATAAAGTACTTGACAACTTGTAATTAAGTAAATTATCAACCGGTGATTTGTTGAAACAGGATAGTGGTAATTTTATGATTTGTGCTTTTAAAGTTTTAATTAAAAAGTGATAGTTTAGTTTGGAGAAATCTAACGGCTGAAAAAGGATGTTCTGTTAAGTAGGAGATTCAGAAAATTGGCATCGGATGAAAGAGCGAAGGCCATGAAACATCTATCCAACAAAAGGTTTTTATTCTCAGATATCTATTTCAAGTGCACATGGGCTGCGCAACAGATCAAAATAGTCTCATTAGGTACGTATTAAAGAAATAAGGATAAAGAAGGTTTTCTGAGACTAACAGACAAATTATAGGAACTAAAGAGTAACACGCTTCTCTTACCAGAAACTGCTGCCACGTGACGGTGAAAAAGAGTGAATGGGGGGAGTGACGCCCTTAAATAATCTATATAATGCCCAGGTGAACTCTACCAGGTAAATGAGGGGTGGATGGAGAAAAACAAGAGCCAGTCGGTGATAAAGAAAGGAAAGGAAGTGAGGTAGGTGAAGAAAGGAAGAGGAAAATAAAAGAAAATGGGGATCTTTACGACATGTCACCAAATAAAGTGGTTTGGATAATACGTTTTGTTTGTGAACAACCCGTCTGATTGTGCGACCTTGTCTGCAGTCAGACTTCACTCGAGCGTTGTCGCAGGACGCATTTGCGTTCACACCGCAAAAAGAATGTGGTCTGAGCGATTGGATCTCACACTCGTCTCGGGTGCGTTCACACCTGTACCACGTGGTCGGATCACCTGAGATGGATGTTAATACGAGGCCATAGGTACAGTATATGGAGAGTTGTTGACACCTGATTGGTTTGATGGATTAAGGGACCTCCCCACCTCCGCTTCCTTCATTGCGTGGTATGAATGAGTGATAAAAACACAGAGCACTTACATTCCTGGAAAATTAGGTCATCCACCGAACAGAGCAAAACTCCAACTGGGACGTGGAGGGTGGGGGGTTGGATGAGATGAAAGCCGGCACACTTCTGTGTAAATTTTTACCACTCCTGTCGACTTTTACATCACAAAACATCAACCACCTGGTACCACTTCAGTCTGAATAGATAGTAATTGAGGGAGGATGGGGGAGATAAAGGGCGGGGGATGGGGTTTCTGCCTCTTCTTTCTGAGTGTTGTGTAATTGCGACGGCACACAGGCAAAATCCTCGGGACTGCAGTGTTTTTCTCACGAGCAAATAAAGGTGATTGTGATTTTTCTCCTGCAGGGATCAGACTCTTCAAAAGGATGCAACAATCCCCAACTCTTCTTCCTCCTCCACCTCCCCGAGTCCCCCCCCCACCCCCCACCCCTTTCCCCATTATATAGACTGTGTTTCCTGTGCTTCCATGGGAGCTTCTAATT